ATTTGTTGGCCTTTAGAAGTGTTTTTCAGTCCAGTCTGTTGGGGCACCATGCCCTGGCCTCAAAGTCCACCTTCAGCATTCCCTGGGGACCTCACTGCTCCATTCTCTTGATGTTCTGTTGCACCCCTTTAGTGTTTTGCCTCGGTATGGTGGGGAAAAATCATTTTATTGGGGGCTCTTAGAGTTCTTATAACATTCCATACACCAATTGTATCTAGCACATTTGTACATATGTTGCCATCATCATTTCCAAAACATTTTCTACTTAAGCCCTTGGTATCAATCAGCTCCTTGTTTCCCCCTCCTTTGGGTGAAGTTCCTGTCGGACAGTTTCTGCACAGGATGTGCAGGGACAGTGCAGAAACATTCTTATGCTTTCCACATGGGGGTTTCCTGTCCTTCCAACTCGTGTCCTTGTCCCTTTCCACTCTCATCTTTGTTTTTAAGCAATTGTTGACGGTTTGGGAATTTCATCTCAATTCTTAAAATTACATAATCTTAAAATTAACCTTTTAAATTGGAAAATTTGTGTGTACATGTATAAAACACCAAGTTAAAAACAGAACAAGCAGTTGGTCAGATTTGGCCCAACAGGTTATAGCTTGCCAATCTTTGGCTTAAAACAATACTTTATTTTAATTAAAAAAAATAAAACTAGCAATAGGTTTCTTACAGTTGTTCCGTGTTTGCTAGACTCAGTCCAGGTCATCACCATGTTTACTGACCACTCACTCGCTGTAAGGCTCTATGCAGCACACCCGACCACCCCATTTGTCAAGACTCAAAGCACTGCAAGGACTAAGTTTTATATTGGCTTTGCAATTCTGCATTCTTTGTTTCCCTTAAGTATTGACATCCAACTATTTTAGGTTTAAAACCTCCTCTTCAAATTTATTTTAGAACATTGGTTTTTGTGCTATATATATGAAACCTTTTCAACATTATAAATGATCTTACTAGGGATTTATCTCGACAGCCTGAGACAACTGAACTCAACTCTATTACCTTAAGAGTCTCTTCAGAAACACACACACACACACACACAAACAAACAAAAACCCAAAAAACAAATTCACTGCCATCGAGTTGACGCCGACCCGCAGTGATGCTGTAGAACAGGTCAGAACTGGACCTGTGGATCTGAGGCTCTCTTCACTGGAGTAGAAAGTCCTTTCTCCTGCGAACAGCTGGCATTTCTAACTCGGGGATCTTACGGTTCTCAGTCCAAAGCATAACCACGACACCACCCTCAGTTCCCTCTTGAAAGGCTCTTGTTGCTTCAGAGAACATCGATTCTTCCCTCTTCTGCTACCCTCAACTCACGCAATCCACGGCCATCGAGTGGAATCCAACTCAGTAATCCTAGAGGACAGAGCAGAACCACCTGTGGATTTCTGAGGTGGTAAATCTTTACAGCAGCTGAAAGCCCCATCTTTCTCCTTCAGAATGGCTGGTGAGCTGGTTTGAACTGCTGACCTGTGGGAGTAGGCCAACTCATAACCCACTATACTGTAGTCTTGTAAATGGAAGCAAAGCCATTGTATCATATGATTGCTTTTATCTTTGTCTTACTTTCATAGCCGAAGAGTATCAGTCAATTGAGTTAAAAGAATTTTGTTTTTATTTTGTCTTGTTTTTTAGTTTAAAGTTTATAGTGGTCAGTGACCCCGAGGATGCCGAAAATGAAGAATGTCAAGAAGTAGGATATGCCTATCTTGAACTGTGGCAAATCCTGGAGTCGGGAAATGACATTCTGCAGCAAGAGCTAGACAGTGAGTAGTACGTCCTTGCTCAAAGTTATTGTTTCTTTCTTACATTAAGAAAATCAACTTAGTGTTTTGTTGCTATTCTACCTTTAGGGTTTAATTACCACTATAAAGTTGAGGTGAGACTGACCACATTATGACTGATAAACAAGTGGCGGGCTCTTCACTAGCTGGTCTCCAATATTTGCTTTTACAAAATTAATAGCAATAGGAAATGTCCAGACTAGGCAAATTCTGAGAGACAGAAAATGGATCAGTGGTTGTCAGGGGCTAGAGGAGAGACAAGAATGGGGAATTAATGCAGACTGTGATTCTCCAATGTTTGAGATACAGAAATTTAAAGACAGTTCTTTTAATTTCACAGAAACTTTAAACATCAGAATTGTTGGATTCTCTTCCACAACCAAACTCACTGCCCTGGAGTCAATGCTGGCTCACAGTGACCCTCTGTGGGTTTCTGAGACTATAACTGTCTCTGATAGTAGAAAGTCCTGTCCTTCTCCCCAGGAGCTGCTGGAGGTTTCGAACTGCTGACCTTGTGGATTGCAGCCCAATGTGTAACCACAATACACTTCTCTGCCCTCAGTTTCTTAAACTATCCACTCAAATCGCCTTTCTTCATACCCATGGGTCACTCGGTTTTAAACTTTGTCAGAAATGCCTAGCATATGTCCCCACTACTGGAATCATTTTCTAAACGAGCCTCCCTTTCATCCTATTTCCATAAAGAGAGCTCTCCTGATCATGTGATCAGCACATTCTCATTACAGTCTCTTAATGACTGCTGTAGCCCAAAGACGTGCTTTTGAATGCCTTTAGGTGGGCCCTGCTCTGTTCACACCTGATCATTCTCTATACGCCTATGCACTTGGGACATCACATAAATATGTTCTCCTTGGTTCCAATAGACACTTGGGATCATTAGACTAACTAAGGTGTCCAACATCTAGTCACAACCCAGTACTGAAAGAGGAAATCAAATTAGTAAGTCAGAACCAGAAACTGAGAACAAAAAAAGTTGTAGAATAGAAAACATCAGAGTACACTGCGTATCGGTATTTTGAAGCTTGTTTTATGTAAACTTAAGTTTACTGTTATAATAAAAAAAGATAATTTGGTTGTAATTAAAAAACCTTTGAGGGACACTCTTTAGATCAAATTATTGAGTCCCTTGAATCTTGAAAACAAGATTATTTGCTTGGGCAAGCTATTTAATGTCTTCATGTCTGTTTCAAGTACCCAGCGGTGCCCACCTCATGGTCCGCTGGGAGGGCAAAAGGAGCTAATACAAGTAAGGGGACTAGGACAGTGCCCAGCAGTTCCTGCTCCCGGTGCCCATTCCCTTGCCACGCTCTGCTCGCCCATGCCTTTTGTACGTTTCTAGTCACCTCAGACTCACTGAGCCAATGAGTGTTTCTCAATTTTCACGTTCATGCTTTAATCAAAAGAAAAACACCGTTTCCTAATTATGACCTCCCTGTCACACAGCTTTTCAACATGCGTCCTCTGATCTTCAAAACAAACTCTCTTGCTCTGCACCTGCCTTTTCTCCTGTCCTTAAAATGTTTGCTGAATGATTAATTCCCTCTGTATTACTACTATTACTTTTAATCATCTTATTGGGGCCTCTTACAGCTCTTTTTACATTCCATACATTAACTGTATCAAGCATATTTGTATATATGTTGCCATCATTTTTTTAATACTTTTTTGGGGGGCTCTTACATCTCTTATCACAAACTATACATTCCTCCAATGTGTCAAGCACATTTACACATGTGCTGCCACCATCATTTTCAAAGCATTCTCTTCCCCTTTGAGCCCGATATCAGCTCATTTCTTCCCCCTCCCTCCGTCCCCCACCTGCCCTCCCTCGAGTCCTTGGTAAGTTATGTTATTTTTCCCCTATCTTACATCTTCCTCCGTCACCCCTCACTCACTTTTCCGTTATTCATCCCCTTGGGAGGGGGTTCTAGGTTGATCCTTGTGACCTATTCCCCCTTTCTCCCCCCACCCTCCTGGTATCTCTACTCTCCTTGTTGACCCTGAGGGGTTTATTTATCCTGCATTCCCTGTGTTGCAGGCTCTTATCTGTAGCAGTGTGCACGTTCTGGTCTATTCCGATTTGTAAGGTAGAATGAGGTCATGATAGTGGGGCGAAGGAAGCACCAAAGAACTAGAGGGAAGTTGTGTTTCATCTGTGCTATACTGCACCCTGACTAGCTCATCTTTTCCCTGTGACCCCTCTGTGAGGGGATGTCCAATTGTCTACAGATGGGCAGTGGGTCTCCACTCCAAGCCCGTCTACCCCTATTCACCTTGGGTATTGTTTTATTCTGGATCCTACATGCCTGATCCCTGATCAAATCGACACCTCATGATCACACACAGGCTGGTGTGCTTCTCCCATGTGAGCTTTGTTGCTTCTGAACTAGATGGCTGCTTGTTTATCTTTAAGCCTTTAAGACCCCAGACACTGTATCTTTTGATGGCCGAGTACCATCAGCTTTCTTCACATTTGCTTATGCACCCATTTTGTCTTCAGCAATCATGTGGGAAAGGTGAGCATCACAGAATGGTGGACTGTTAGAACAAAGTGTTCTGTGTTAAGGGAGTACTTGAGTTGAGGCCCAATATACATCTGCAACCTTAATTCTTAACACACAAATATGAGTACATAGTTCTATTCCCCACCATCTTCATTTTCTCAGTGGTGGTTATGTGTCAACCATTGTAATACACTATTTCATTTCTGTTTGTGCTCCACCTAAGAAAACAGTAAGGAACCCTGGTGGCATAGTGGTCAGCAGTTTGAGACCACCAGCCACTAAGACGGAGAAAGATGGGGCTTTCTACTCCAGTGGTCTGGGAAACTCACGGGTAAGTCCTCCCCTGCTCTACAGGGTCAATGAGGCAGAACTGACTTGATGGCGGTGAGTTTGGCTTGAAGACCACACTTTCACAAGTACTTTTTTTTCACTTTCCTCCTATTTTACCTAACTTCCATATTCAGGACATTCTAAATCAGCAGTTCTCAACCTGTGGGTCGTGACCCCTGGGGGGGGCCGGAATGACCCTTTCACAGGGGTCACCCAATTCATAACAGTAGCAAAATTAGTTACGAAACAGCAACAAAAATAATCTTACGGTTGGGAGGTCACCACAACTTGAACAGGTGGCGGCATTAGGAAGGTTGAGAACCACTGGTCTAAATCTTTGTTTCCACTATTCTTTTTGGGGCTATTCCTTCGAATGCTGGATTTTCCTAGTTCAGTCTAGTCGGACACCCACCCCTCCTTGTATTTTCTTCCGAGGTGACTGCATCTGCCCTAGGGCCTTATAAATTTATAAGTTTCCTGGCCAGAATAAAATCGGACACTGCGCAAATTAACATGTCACTACATGTATGCCCCACTGGTACCTCAAACTCCAATAGTCTTTGCTCCACATAATGCCTTAGTGCAGGCATCCTCAAACTACGGCCCACATGCGGGCCCGCTGAGGACATTTATCTGGCCAGGTGGGTTTTTTGCCCTGCTTTGTTTTTTACTTCAAAATAAGATATGTGCAGTGTGCATAGGAATTAGTTGTTTTTTTTTCTATAGTCCGGCCCTCCAACGGGACTGAGGGACAGCGAACAGGGAACTGGCCCCGTTTAAAAAGTTTGAGGACCCCTGGGGCTTAGTGAACATGATCCACCATCTACCTTGTTGTCTTAAGCCAAAATTAACCAATCTTTTCCTTACTCCTGACATTCAATCACAGAACTCCACTAATTTTACCTCTTGCATCTGTCCCCATCTCTATACCCCATTACACTTTCACCCCTTTTCCTTTCTGCTCTGAATTCCTACAAGAGCTTCATAAGCACGCCCTCATATGCTTGTGCCTGCTTCCCACTCTAGAACCCAAATGAGCAAGGTCAGTACTAACACCTGGAGTTCCAGCTAAGGAGCCCTGCTGGTGCCGTGGGTAAGCACCGGATTGCTAAGCGACAGATGAGCAGTGTAACCCCGCCTGTGTGGGAGAGAAATGAGGCTGCTTCCATAGATGGTCGCATCCCAGCCACCCAAAGGGGCGGTTCTAGTCTGTCCTTCACGGTCACAAGGTGTCAGAATCGACTCCACTGCAGTGGGTTTGGTTTAGCTCAGCAGTTCTCAACCTGTGGGTCGTGACCCCTTTGGGGGCCGATGGACCCTTTCACAGGGGTCACCTAAGACCATCGGAAAACAAATATTTCACGATATATAATTACATATTGGCTTGTGAATCTCTATGCTTTAATTATGTTCAATTTGTTAACAATGAAAACACATCCTGCATATCAGATATTTACATGACGATGCCTACCAGTAGCAAAATTACAGTTACAAAGTAAGCAACGATGCTATGGTTGGGGTCACCACCACGAGGCGCTGTATCAAAGGGTCGCGGCATGAGGAAGGGTGAGAACCATGCTCTCGCAGCGGTTTCCCTCCTGAGACACGGCCCTTCACGGCCCGCCCAGCTGCACTTGTCCTTTTCCAAACTGGCACTGCGTAGGGTTGTCTTTGACACATACTTTTAAAAACTCAAAAATAAATATAAATTCCTTTTGGGGATTGTCTCCAGAAAGTCTTTTCTAATTCGGATCCCTCCACTCTCAGTCTTCCTCTCCCACTAGACTGGAAGTCTCTTAGAGGGAGGGGCAGTAGTTCAGGTAATAGCTCAAACACCTAGCATGGCAGACAGCAGGTTCTCAAGTGTTTTCTAATTGGCTGACTTTCCCCCACAGTTGTTAGCCCTGAGGACTGCGTGACCCCCATAGGAAGGCTGACGGTGTCCCTTCAGGCTGCCGCTGCCCTCCACGCTATTTACCAGGAGATGGCTGGAGATGTGTGTATGTGAGGGAGTGTGCTCCGTCCTCAAAGCGGAGGGAACCAGAGGAAAGTCTCTTATAAAGTAACTTGCTACACCACGAATTTGTCTGCTGTGATGTTTCGGTATATTCGGCTCTCTCGGTAACTACAGCTTGGACTGATGTTATGTTCTCTTAGTGATAGGTTTTAACTCGATAAGAGGTGAGGCCTGCCTTCGCAGCTACCATGTGAGGAGGCAGCTCGTTCTCAGGAGCTACGAACCCCCCACATAAGGTGAGGTTACAAAAACAAAACAGGAACGACAACAACAAAAAAAACCCATTTATTTATCTTTTAGTTCTTCCAAAATTGAAAATATCAAGTCCTACAGCTAAGGAGAAAAAAAACAAACAAACAAAAACCAAGACCCCTGCCCCCTCCCCCTTTTCTTAGTCACAGAACACAGAAGGAGCTGCAATGGGACAGGTGGGCACAGAGAACCGGGAGGGGGAGGAGGGCAGGATAAACTCCCCCAGTACTTAGAAAAGCTGTTCAACAGAGACCGGTAACTACAGGACAGTGCACGACGAGTCAGAACAAGGAGCAGCGGTGACGAGAGGCTCGGTTGAAGACATGGCCTCCCTTCCTCTTCTCTCGCTTCCTCATCAGGGCATTCCAGGCCCAGGGCATGACTTGGCCCTTCCCGATCTAACTGTGGCCTCCTTTGAACGACCTCTAGATTTTCACTAGCAGCACCACACGAGGTACACCCACCCTTCCTCAGACAACGCGTCAGAGGAGGAGACAGGGGTAGTCTGTCTTCCACCACTGTCGTGTGAATTTGTGAGGATGAAACCAGGCTCAGGGGAGTCACTGCTTCTTGCGTCTTCCAAGGCGGCGGCGGCACTTCAGAGTCTGCACAAGGCAAGAACGCAGGCCAGCTCGGATGGAGGCACCAGCCCAATCGGCTTCACTAACTCAAGCTGCCGGAAGTAGCCAAATCATTAGCAACCAAGAGCCTTTTCTTGCAAGATGGAACGTAAAGAGATCTGAGGAAAAGTCGCGACAGTAGGGCAGGCTGAAGGGCTGAATCTGCTGGTCAAGAATGATGGTATAGGCAGCTCGAGGTCACCGTGTACCAATGTCTTTAAAGAAAGCTTTAGGACACCAGAGACGATGCCTTAAGCCACCGGTGTCCTGGCAGATGACAGGAAGAGTGAGGAAGGAAACAACGTTTGTCAACAGCGGAAGCCTCTGCCCTTCTTCAAGAACACCTCCTCCTCCCTTGCCGTCTGGATGGGCCATCGGCACGTGTCCTGGTGGGCCTGGAATTCCCCGAGTAGATTGGTCCACACAAATGGGCCCCTAAACCCATAAACACAAATGGCAAAACTTCAAAAGAAAACAAAAGAAAAAAATACAGTTTCTATGTATGTCATGTAAAATTCTCAGGGGGCTGGCTGGAGGAAGAGTGGAGCTCAGGGCTACAGTTCCGAGGTTACTTCCTCTTTTTCTTGGGCGGCGCAGAGCTGTGTCTGGAGCCCCGGTTAGAGCCACGGCCCGAACTGTGCACAGATGCCTTCCTCTTCCGGCTCATACTGCGACTCTGTTCTTCTTCTTCCTCGTAACGGCTTTCCCGGTCCGCTGCACGGGGAGGAGAGAGGGTTTCAGTTGGCTGTAAAACCCCAACAGGCCCGGCCTGGCACAAGGTGGTGAAGGGCATGCATTCTGGAATCGGATCAGGTGCCGTTCATCATTAGCTAGGCAGCTTTCAAAAAGTTGTTACCTTTTCTGAGTCTTGCTTTATTTTTAAGATGGAGAAACTACTTTAGGGTTAGATAAGGTAACTTCAGCAAAGCACTTATCACAGTGCTTAGGATATAGAAGACAATACTGTTTTCATCCATAACTTATGTTTCAGGCTGTGCTACCATGATTGCTATCCTTCCCCCAAATAGTCTATCACCCATAACATAAACTCAGCATCGCCCCCCAAAAGAACTCTTCTTCCCCTTCTCCCACCCCAGTATTACTAATCATCTTGGGTTTCTAAGTACTTGCTTATTTCATGTACGTGAAAGCGTACAGCTCAGTCATTTTCTTTTTCACCGAGCATGGGTAGAAGGTGACGAGGCAAATTCGTTTTCTGCCCAACAATGCACATACATTGTCTGTGACGTTCTTTGTAACCCGACCCATGTATAGTTCTCTTAGGGTCCCCCCTTTGGTCTCCTAGGTCAACTGTTCTGAGGAGTGTGTGTGCCATGCGCATTACTGCTCACTTCATAGGCTTGTGTGTGGTTAGGTTACAGGGTGACCCCTGGAGTGTGGTTAGTTGCAGGTTTGAAGGGCCTAGCAAGGCCAATGTCACCGGGGCTACAACAGTCTCTACTAGACCAGTAAGTCTGGGCGTCTCTTATAATTTTGAGTTTTGTCTCCAGTTTTCTCTGGAGGACCTTCTGGCCAGGACCTTCTGGTGGTGCCAGAGGCTGCGGTTTGCTGGCCCACGAGTCCTCGCGATGAACTGGTTCCTGAAGCCCCTCCTCTCCTCCCGAGAGCTGCTGCTTACCTCAGCTGGCCGCGCACTACTCGCCGCAGCATGAGCGGCAGTCGTGTGGACTACGCTGTGTCAATTGACAAGGTTGTGGTCCTTCCCGGTCGGCATGTTTGCAAAGTCCACCGCGTTGTGGGTGCACCAAAACCTCCCTTCTCTTTCCTGCTGCACAATACTCCCTGTCCCCCAAACAACAATTTTAAAAATTACCCTTTCGGGCCTCCTCCTCCAGCTCGTCCCAGTCCTTTCCACTCTCCTCCTCACTGCCCAACGACTCCTTGGAGTAGTCTGGAACGCAACGAACAAAGGGTTAGTTAGTCCGCACTCTGGATCAGTGGTTCTCAATCTTCCTGCGGCCACGGCCCTTTAATACAAGTCCTCATAAGATTATTTTCATTGCTACTTCATAACGCTAATTGTTCTACTGTTCTGAATCGGGCGACCCCTGTGAAAGGGTCGTTTGACTCCCAAAGAGGTCGTGACCCGCAGGTTGAGAACCGCTGCACTAGATGGAATGAAATGAAACCGGCTCCTTCTCTGAAAACAAAGAAGTTTCTAGAAATGATGTATGAGGAAGCCATGACATTTTCTGAAGAGGATTAACCTGATTCTTCTGCTTCAGATGAATAATCTTCATCACTATCTTCTTCTTCCTCTTCATAGTCATCTTCTGAAGGGTTAAACGTCTCATCTTCAATTTCGGATTCGGAATCCCCTTCCTCAGCATCACTTCCCTGGGGAATCAGAGAGCAGATTACGGTTTACACTTGTTTGTTTCTTCTGGGGGGTTCGGGGTGGTAGTGTTTACACTCATTTTATTAAGGAAATTAATCCAATTCACTTCACATCAGCATTATTCAAATTTTACATGGAATAAATCTGAGTGGCTACACTATATATTGAAGTAGCACCCCTTTGTTACCTTCCCAATTCATTTATTTCTGGTTCACTTCACCCTTCTGTATCCAGAGCAAGAACCCTCAGAAACACTCTTGGTAATAATGCATTACGTAGAGGTAGGAGGACTTTTTTAGGAAACAATTCTTGCCAACCTGCCCTGAAGGATTTTTCCCCAATGCTGAGAAACGGGCCGAGAACAGTTTTTTATAACTTCAAGGAGACTTTTCCAATGGTGCCCACGGTCAACCCATCTATCCTTTTCCTCCCAGACTAACTGGGAAAAGCACAATACAAGCTGATCTCTGGCGTGCTGCTTGCCTGTGTTTTCTCCGGCTTGCGCACACGAGAGCAGCCACGGTACCAGACCGAAGGGGAGCCCGCCCGCACGCACCTCACCCTCAGGCTCGAGGAAGGACCAGCCGCCTTGCTCGAAGAAGCCCTCAGGGTCGTCAACAATGGTCTTCATGATCTTAGTCCAGTTGAGGGACTGCACCCCTTCGGTGTACTTCAGGTCACAGGAACTGAGAGAAGTGACAGTACAACGTCAACACCACACTGCTCTTCTCCCACACGCCCAATGTCACCTTGCTGGACCACGTTTTCCTGCCGGTGGGAGCAGGCACACTTTGCCGTGCCAGGGGAGCACACCTAAAGGGCTGCAGCTGCTCTCCCAGAGCACTCGCGCTAAGCCCTGCCAGACAAGAGCAGTCTCGTACCTGAAGCACACCTCACCTCTCCCTCAACCAGCTGCCTTCCCCTCCTTCCACTTTCCTCCTCAGGCGCCGATTTCCCAGCTCCTCACTCACAACAAGGCTTCCTTCCTCTCTCATCATTAGCAAGTGGTTTCAACTCATAACTGCTTCTGTACCTCCCATTACCCCCGCTCTCCTCATTCACTCCGCGTACTGCAACTCAGAACAAGGGACGCCTGCGCCTGGACCTTCCACTGCGTCCCAATGTCTTACTTGATGCAAGACCTACTGTAAAGTGGGAATGGGTTTGTAGTGACTCTGAAATGGCCTGTATGTAGAAGGCGTGCAAATGACTTTCATTATCTTTCTGCTACTCGTTTTTGTTCAGAGTCAGATCAATTACAGTGAGGAGGTAAGAAGAAACAGAAGATCAGCAACAATAAGGATAACAACCACAACATTCCGGTATAGAAGCTGCCTGAGAACCCTGCACAAACGCAGATAGGCACTACCGCACATATGGAAACATCTGCTTCCAGCTTTGGTGAAATAGCAGGGACGAATTTGCTTTCCACCTTGAACAACTCCAACAACAGGCAAAATGGCAAACAAGGGTTTTCAAACATTGGCTAAAAGTCTGTGCAAGAGCGTAGGGCAACAAACAGGGTTTCATTTTACAGCTGCCCAGCTTTGTCTAGAGGCAGACTGTGCAGGAGGGACCGACCACAATCTGGTGGCCACTCAAAGGCGAGAGCAGCATTCAGGGTGGCTGAGATGGCTAGACTGTGGGCAGAGTACTGGAGGAGGAGTTACACAGCGAGAACGTCCTGCAGGTCTGCCAAAGGGTCCCTGCAAGCAGTCCACTACAGACTCAGCTCCACACACAGGAAGGGAAACGAGCCAAAGCTGGGGAAAGCAGCACTGGGAAACTGCAGGCCAAACAAGCGCACAGAACTGGAAATAATTCCCCCTCCCACCAGAGAGAGCGGAGAGACAACCTCCTCATGCAGAAGGAGGGGCAGGGTCCTCAGAAGACTACTGCTTCAGTAGCAGGGCCAAATCAGCCCTTACCTAGAGCAGTTCTGAACTTGCACCAGTGAAACGTGAATAATTAAATGAGGCTAAGCAGCTTAACCATATTCTAGAATAAAACCTTAAAATTAAGTTACATAACAAAACCCAGTACCCAATAATGTAGGGTCATACTGTCTGCCCGTCAATCAGAAATGTTGCCAGGCTCGCACAGAAGCCAGAGAAAACCAGTCCATAGAAATGGCTCCCCTATTCCCTGGTGAATGGATAAACGAAATGTGGAATGTGGTGGATCTAATAAAGGCTGCTGCTGTTGTGAGGGGTCGTTCTGAGTCACAGCGACGCTATGTGAGAGAGCAGCGCTGACCGAGAGGGGCAGATAGAGTGCCAGGGCTTCCTCCCTCCTGATGGGTGATGGGTGGGTGAGAACTGCCTACCTTGTGCTAAGCAACCAATATTCAACTGTTGTTCACCAAGGCTCCTTAGGGGAATACTAATTCGTATTAACACAGGATATGGTAACTGAAGCACATAATTTGAGTAACTTTCACAAGCATTACACTCAGCTAAGGGAAAAGGTTACATAGGAGGGAGCTTTAAAAAGTTCATGGAAAAATGAAATGGAATTTCCCCATGGACTTTTTAAACCCCCTGAATATGATGTGGACAGTCACATCCGCCAGGAGGGAAGAGGGTCTGGAGAGAGACCAGGAACGGCACTGGTAACTTGAAAGGACAAACAGGAGCGGTCTGAAAGCATGAGAACATTCGATATCTGGATTACCACCTGACGATTTTTGACCCTACCTCACTAACTTAGGTGCACTTCAGACAAAAAGTCTTATAGAAACTATAGATTCTCCGTTTATTTCTCAGCTCTCATCAATTTCTGAAGATGAGAGTTATAGTACCTCCCAGCTCCCAATGATGGGCGGGGTAAAAGGGAACCACACTCATGGCTACCCAAGCCTCACCTTTTCTCCACTGGGTGAAATGTCCCTGCTTATTGGGGTTCTGGGACACCGAGGAAAAATTCATCTCAAACCTACAGATGTCAAAGCAAAGCCTCGGAAATGTTAACATATTCATTCTAAACATTTCCAAATCTTTTCATACGTGTATCAAGTCACATCAGAAGGTCAGCTGTTTAAGTTTCATTACGAAGTACTGCTGGGTACTCAAGGTGACAGTGGGGGCCCAAGATACATCTGTGGGATCTATGCACGACACAAGCCTCTGGTGACTTCCCTCTATCCATCATAGAGGGACGGACGGGAGAGTGGCCACCAAATCGAGTGCGCTGGAGAGATGATCATGTAAGATCAAAGGGGGTAGAACCTTGTCAGTTGATCCCCTTCCGGAAGCACATTTAGGCTTGATCTGGTCTTCAACATTTTCTGTATTTTTATTTGTTCATATTTGGGTTTATCTCAGATGTGTTACGCCATTGGGAGTCATCCTCCTGAGTTGTTTTTTTTAAATTACGGGCTCGTACAACTCTTACCACAATCCATACATACATCAATTGTGTAAAGCACAATTCACTGCCCTCATCATTCTCAAAACACTTGCTCTCCACTTAAGCCCCTGCCTCCTGAGTTTCTGTTTATACATTTTCACTGCATGGAACCTAGGATCGATGACCCTAAAGGGACAGCAAGGAGCATACGGGGTCTGGGCATCCAGTAGTGCTGGTAAAACGGAGCTGATGTCAACAACGTCTAGGAGTTCAAGAAAGAAAAGGATGTTTTGAAACTGATTGCGGCAGCAACTGTACAACACTGCTTGACGTGATACAGCTATGGAATAATATAATATTTGAACTAACTCCCAGTAAAATGGTCTTGGGAAATACAAAAAAAAGGTCAACCATTAACGGGTCCTCAAATGTCTGTCCTGGTCTATAACTCAATCTACAGACAGTCTCACCTAGGGGACACCAGTAGAGCTTATGTACACTACACCACACTTGGAAGATGGCAACAGAGACAAATTCTGCGATCGAAGGCTCCAAAAGAATGGGAGACTGCAGGCAGGCAGGTTTACTTACTTCAACCATTCCTTGATGGGGTCGAGAGAGGCCACGGGAATGGCATTGATCATGGTAACTTTCTTGCTGTAGTCCTTGTAGACTATCACCATATCAAAGTTCTTCAGGTGAAACTGCACCCTCTCAAAGTGGATCAGCTCGACCTCATCCAAGGTCACCACAAACGGGGGCTGTCAGGGAAGAAGGGAAGCATTGTCGCAGCACGTTCATGTACGCGGAGGAAACAAAGGGGCTCTGGGTTATGTGGTGGCTCGCTAGCTACAAGGCCAGCAGTTGGCAGCCACGGGAGAGCGACGAGGCTTTCTGTCCCCATATTCACAGCCTCAGAAACGCACGGGGCAACCTGGTCTGCTCCTAGGCTTGCCATGAGTCAGAAGTGACCCCATGGCGATGAGTTTGTTTCTCAGGAAACAAATTACTACACCAGATAACAAACCTGTTCTCTCTTTTTTTTTTTCCAGAAAAAGGGATACAGCATATAGATAAGACCCCCCGTAATTCTTCCCTCAAGGAACATAAATTCAAGGCATCTAATGTGAAGAAACGATTACAAGAAAAACTTAACATTTTCACGAATAATTTTTCAGTGAGTTGTAATTCTAAGAAAAATAATGATCAAAAATGAACATCAGAAAATATAGTTAAGTTCTTTATTTTCCCAACACCTGCCCTCTTGCTTTCTTTTCTCTTAACAATTTTCTTATTAAAAGGAGAAAAGAAACACTCACCCATTCTGTAGCATTGACCAGTGCACTACTAGTAGGCTGAAGGAGGCAGGTACTCCTGTAGGGAGCACCATTAAACCTGCAAGAGTAAGGCCAGAAAGTCCCATCAGGCAGGGCTCATGACAAGACAAACTGCTGCCACCACCGCAGACAGAATCCTCTCCCTTCCCCAGGCCAAGACAGCCGCAGCACATGCGCTGGAGCTTGAGAAGGACCCTCAGTTTAGTCACCCAGCTAACCCGCAGCAATTTTCAAGAGGGAGCGAACATCTCGGAGGAAAAAGGACATCATTCTTACTAATGGAATATTCAAAGAAGAACCCAAAAGGCACAAAGAAGAGCGGTTACCCCAAGTCCCTAAAAGGCACTTCAAATTCCAGTTCCTCCTTCGTCAGAGCTTCTACTTTCTCAATGAAATTTTTAAAGGCGGTTTTCAGTTTGTGCCTCATTTCTCGTTCCATCTGTTAAAATAATAAGTACACAGATAGCCATCCCTTCATTTGTTAACACACCCCTCTAAAAAGGTCCGAAGTGCCTATGTAACCTTTAATTCTTACCGACGTGCCACTAATCTAGCCAACAATAATTTGGATAGAATACATCCAAATGCACTGCAGCACAGAGGCTGCAACAATGGGCTCGGATGTAACAAGGGATGGAGGGCTGTGCTTCACGCGGCTGTGCAGCTCGCTGTGAGTTGCAACCGACACGATGGCACCGCACACAATATCTAATGTGTCCGGGGCCCCGGAGCATTAACTGGAGAGCGGAGCCTGCAGCCGGTGTCTAGTCCATAAACTGTTGTTCTGCACGCTCTGTTCAGGACTCGCTTCTAGAATGTCACAGTTCCCGAGCTCAAATTTAGTGCTCACGCGACCCCTTATTCTGCAAGCGACGCGACTGGACTTCACTGGCCTGCTCAGCGTAGAGGTCGTCTCGGTCATGCATGTGTTGGTGCTTCCCCAGGTCTGTGGTGATCTCTCCCACTTCCGTGTAGAACTGCACATCCGTGTGCCGCTTCTTCCCAAACATGATGGCATTCTGGGGACAGGACGCAGAAAGAATAAGGACGATGTCAGAGGACGCGGGCTGCACAGCAACCAAACACCAAAGTACGCCAATACCTATGTTGGAAATGGCGGGGATTCAGATTGGGGTCTCATGGCATATACGTAAACACTAACATTATCCACCATGTCATTACAATGACCTTTGGGATTGAGCGAGAATGCTAGGTTTTGTAAAGTACTTTGATTTCTTCTAACGGACTTGGGGTACTATGCTGCTAACTGTACCTAGAGGAAACAGTTTCTATTTCAGAAATCAGAGTCTGGAGAAGAGCTTGTATGTTCGGTAGTCAGTAGAGGCAACAGCAAAAGAACACTCATACTGAACAGCACCCCTGACGTGCTCGACAGTGTGGACCTGATAGACTTCTATTCAACCCTCATAGTCTTATGTGATAGGTAACGCCAGGAAAACACCACCAGAAACAGTTTGTGGCCCTGTCACAAGACCAGCTGGCAGAAAGAGATACCTTGAGGTGGAAGTGCAAGACAATGATCATTTCCCCATCACAGGGCTGGAACAGAGCGTGCTTGATGTTATTGTATAGGATGTCCACCTTGTCTCCTCGAACCGAGGTGAAGCGAAAGCCTGGGAGAAGAGAAAGGGCGTCAGGACTGCTCGGCAGCATCGCTGGGTCCGGCAGAGACGCGGCATCTTCTCTGGGGCACTCCACCAGGGCCGGAGGAACAGGCAACCCCTGTGCAGAGAACCCGTATCTGTGAGCAGACGCCTGGCAACATGTTCCTGCTCTGCGACACGATCTGGCTTCTTATGTGTGCAGCTGTGGCTCTAGAGGAGAATGGTGGGCACACGAGAGCGCATACCATTGACATGCGCCTCCAGGGAACCCTGCATCCTCTTCTGGGCAATATTTGGGCGAATGTAGAGATCTTTCAGCTTGGGATTACTCCGGTTGAGATTGATCACCAGTGAGTCTTGTTTCACAATGCCCTGAGAAGAAAGACCATTAATGTGACCCCTCATATAACCCAACCGGTCCCCAAAGCCCACCCCACGGTGTCCTTGTGCACACAGGTACTCTTTGTTGGTGTTCAGGCTCACCTCTTTTTCTTTCTCCTCTGCTTCCCGAGTCTTATACCGTTTCTGGACTTCCTTGATGATTCGAAACGCATTCTGCAGGTTCAGGGCGGGCACCGTCTGCTCTCCGGGTGCCTTCATGTTCGAAGCTCGGTATGTGCTATAGAGAAGACAAGTTTCTTTACCAGGCCAGGTCCCTAGTCCTGGATTCTTTTAAAAAATCATTTTATCGGGGGCTCTTACAGCTTTTCACAATCCATCCATCGTGTCAAGCACATTTGTACATTTGTTGCCATCATCATTTTCTTCTACTTGAGTCCTTGGTATCAGGTCTTTTTCCCTCCCTTCCCCACAAACACTTAACAATCTATAAACTTATTTTTTCATGTCTTACACTGACCGATGTCTCCCTTCACCCACTTTTCTGTTGTCTGTCTCCCTGGGAGGGGGCTCTAAATGTAGATCATTGTGATCCGTTCCCCTTACTGGCCCCACCTCTCTTTACCCTCCTAGTATCGCTACTTTCATTATTGGTCCTGAGAAGTTTATATATCCTGGATTCCCTGTGCTGCGAGCTCTTATCTGTACCAGTGTAAATGTTCTGGTCTACCTGGATTTGTAAGGTATAATTGTGGTCATGATGGCGGGGAGGGGAAGGGGAAGGGAAGGAGCACTAAAGAATTAGAGGAAAATTGTGTTTCAATGGTGCTATACTGTACCCTGACTGGTTCGTCTCTTCCTTGTGACCCCTCTGGAAGGGGATGTCCAATTGTCTACAGAAGGTCTCCACTCTGCCCTCCTTCATTCATATCCATGATTTTTAAAATTTTGTTTTGTGTCTTTGATGCTGATACCTGATCTCACTGATATCTCATGATCACACAGGCTGGTGTGCTACTTCCATGTGGGCTTTGTTGCTTCTCAGCTAGATGGCCAAAGACCCCAGACACTTTATTTTTTGATAGCCGGAAACCATCAGCTTTCTTCACCACATTTGCTTATGTACCCATTTTGGCTTCCGCGTGACAGTGAGCATCAGAGTGTCAGGTTAGTAGAGCAAAGTGTTCTGCGTTGGAGTAGTACTTAAGTGGAAGCCCAATGTCCTTCTGCTGCTTTAATACTAAAAAAACAAATATATGTACGTAGATCTATTCCCCTATTGTTATACAGATATGTATCGTCACATATGGAAATATATATGCCTGTATTTAGACCTCTATAAATGTCCTTTGCCTCCTAGTTCTTTCCTTTATTTCCTTTTACTTTCCTCTTGTCCCACTATTATACTCAGCCTTCATTCAGGTTTTAGTAATTCCGCTCAGCTACACTGCCCTTGATCAAGTGCCACCGGCTCCCCCCCAATCCTATGCCCTCCTCACCATCGATTTTAGATCACTTGTTGTTCCCTTGTTCTTGGGTTTCTTGGCACCCCCCTTCCTTTCCTCTACTCCCCCTCTCCTGTGTCCCCCTGAAACCGTTGGTCCCGTTGTTTTATCCTCTGGACTGTTTATCCCGCCTACCTTACCTAGATAGACATGCAGAGACATTAATAAGCACAAAAACAAGAGGAACATAGCAAAAGGAAGCAAAACAAAACAAGAGAAACATTAACAAAACAACAAAACCAACAGAAAAAAAAAAAGCCAATAAATAGTTCCAGGTCTGTCTGTTGACCTTTACTGAATGTTTTCCAGTCGAGGCTGATGGTGTACCACACCCTGGCCCCAAAGTCTATTTTTCATATTCCTCAGGGACTTGTTGCTTTGCTCCCCCTGCTGCTACACTACACACCCTTAGTGTTTCGCCCCGGTATGGTGGGGTCAGATCGTGCACAACTCCCATACTGTGCTGTCCCCTGTAGCACTATGGGTCAATGAGGGACATCATGTCTCGTGATTGGGGCGGCCCTATGGTCCTCTCTATGCACTGGCTGCTCTGAGCCAGAATGTTGTCCTCGGGGCTTGGAGGGCCAGGTTTTTTTAGTAGATCAAGTTTCTATTCAATAATTCAATCTATTTTGTTCCTTGCCACTGGTTGCAATCCTCAAAATATGATATCACTTACTCCACGTTCTCCTAATCCTTCTGCACTTGGTCCTTCAGTGAATGTGGCCGTTTGGATCTCAAATGGGTGACCTGTCTCAGGGGCGTGCGCAAACCTCACTCCAAAACTCCACGGCTATTGAGTTGGTTCTGACCCATGCCACCTTGGCTTTCTGAGGCTGCAGATTTCTACAGAAACAGAGAGCCTCGTCCTTCTTCCTGCGAGCCGTCAGTGAGTCTGAACTGCCCACTGTTGGTTGTTAGCTCCTTGTTTTGCTGTTCTGTAGAGCTAACTTAATATTTTCCCAGAGAAAAAGGCAGCAGTGAGAAAAGCCTAGAAAGCTTTAAAATAATAATAAAACTCCCACTTTTCTCTTAAATGGAAACTGCTTCAACTGGCTAAACCGCTGAAACCTGGCTGAATGTTCCCAAGAAACACGTTTGACATCATGAAGGCAATAGAATCCAACAGAGCAAACATTTACAAAATGTGAGCGCTCTGTGACAAAATGTGTACAGTCAGCACAGTGTTTTCACGAGGCTCTACATTAGGTTACACCCTTCAAGATAGCAGAAAGCCAGAACTACAAGAAGTGCCAGTAGGGAAACTGTGTCTCCTCAATCGCTAGGAGGGAACAGCACACAGCACAAAGTGCTTCTGAGGGTGCCGCCCCAGCTGGGAAGGATTTAGGAATAGTGGGTTTCCTGGGGACTCACATTTCCTTCACAAAAGTGGCTTCTGGGTTAGGAAAAATGTTGCCTTCATTCCTGCCAAGAGCACTGCCCGGACAATAGAAGTTGATTCGCAGGTAGGTGTAGTCTCCTTCCACGGACATGCTTATGTTCTGTTCAGAGGAAGGAAGCAAGAGAATAAAACAATGCTTCCGCAGTCAAAGCAGGCTTCGTGATACTGAAGGAAGCTAGGAGTGCATCGCTCTTCATGTGAAACTGAATGCACACCTAACAAACTGTCTAGCTCAGTCTGCCCCAAATCATTTAATTCCCAAATATTGTTGTGCTATGTCTACAGCTATAGGTTAAATGACGCTAAGGAAGACAAGCAAGCTGTGTCTCTAGGTGGAATACTCAGCTTGCTAGAAAGGGAGAAGAAGGGGGAGAAGGGCAGGCGGTGAAGTTGAAGAGAGGAAGGCGATACAGTGAAGCACAGTGACTAGTCTATGAGATCGCTTGGATAAGGCTTAATGCAATGAGGTCTGAGTACCTTGATTGTAGCAATGTGGAAAGGTGTCGCAATGCCAAACACAGGCATTATTACAGTTTCATATTTCTTGTCAATATAGATCTTCATTTCTCGAATATGTGGCTCCTTAGGCATCAGAGATGGGTTTTTATAGGACACATTCGATTTGCGAGCTCTGGAGTGGGACAGAGAGGAGGGTCAACAGCGGACTAAGCAGCACCTGGAGTCCCCGTCGCCCCAGTGGTCTCACTGCGAGCAGTCTGACTCACTTCTGGATCTGCTGCTCGCCTTTCTGCTCCGTCAGCCGCCTCTTGGCTTCCTCATTGAGCTGAGCTGCCAGCTCTTTCTGATGCGCTCTCCGCTTCTCCTCGGCGGTCATCTCGTTCTAGCGAAGGCAAGACCGTTACCAGAACACGTGAAGCATCTGATGGCCCTGAGATCGACGTCACTTAAAAGCGAACTTACACAAAAAGCGAACTTACTCGCGTTCTTTCTGTAAGTAATGCTGCCCGAGAACCTCTTCCCAGAAGATCTTCAGCCTCGTCTTTCTCCTCCTCCTCCTCCTCCTCGTCTTCATTCTATGGCAAAAAGTTATATTCAAAAAGTCTAGTTTTAATTTTTTAGCCAACATGATTCAATCCCTCCACTGTGCCAATCTTCCTTCATCACTCATTCTTCAGGGACCCTCTCACCTTTAGAAAAATCCCCACATTCTTCACTTTCTTCTTCATAGACGTGAGAACAGTGGCCGGGCCATCCTGGAAGAAAGGGAGGAGTCACTCAACGGTTAGAAGCTGAAAGGAAGTGCATTAGCCTGTCTAACTTAGAAGTTAGCTGGGCAAGCCTGTGCGCTTCCCGGACGCGGACCCCCGGGACCACAGACACACGGAGTTTTACCCTCCTCATCTCTCACTTGGAAAAGGCGGCAGCAACCTTGAGTAATGCTCAAACTGCATGCTGGATTTGAATCCCAGCTCATTTTCTGTCCAAGTTACATTTGGCAAGTTACTTTCAACCTCTCTGTTCCTTAGTGTTTTTATCTGTAGAACAGGGATACTAAGAAAACACACTTCAGATGGACACGAGTAAAAAACAAGGAAACAGGACAAACCAGAGGGGAAGGAGCATTAGGGAATTTTGTGATGACGTATGTACAACTCTTTCTAAAAGCAGCTCAACTGTGGAAGGGTATGATATGTGAACACTCTATCAAGAAAATGACGAAGAGAGAGAGACCAACTTGACCAAGAGTTACCACGGTGAGAGGAGGCGCGCTGCTGCTCTGGGGCACTGAGTTCATGGTGATGGTGGTGGAACAATTGGAAAAAGGTATCAATAACGGTTGTACAACATGAAGAGGACAGTCAATGGCACTGAATTATACATGTAGACGTTAGTGAATTGGAGAATGTTGTGGATATTTTTGCCACACACTCAAAAGTTCACATGAATAACAATGAGTACAAGGAAGAAGAAAATGTTCTAGAGTTGATGCTGGTGATGATTGTGCCACTCTTCTTGATAGGACTGAGTTATTGAGTTAGTTGTATGACGTGGCAATGAAACTGTTAAAAAAAGAAACAGCAAACCACTGAGACGTTCGGTAAGTTTCTAAAGGCAAAAATGTTCTCATCTGTAAACGCCTACTCAATTCACAATGAAAAAGATAAAAAATAAAGAGAATATATACTTCATATGCTTATAATAAGGATTCAATGAAGTATTGCATAAAAGTCCTTATTAGCTTATAATAAAAGCACCTAAAAAAATAATAAAAGCACCAAGCCATTCATGACAAAATGTGGAGTAGGCAAATTCAACGGCAGAAAGTAGTCTAGGGGCTAGAATGGAAGATTTGCGGAGAAAATGGGGTGTGACTGCTAATGAGTATGAGATGTTTTCTGGACAGAAGAAAATGTTCTTAAATTAAGGCAGAAGTGATGCTGTAAAACTAGGAAACTATTAAAACCCCTGAACTAGTGTGTGAGTGGATGAACTGTATATGAGAACTGTATTTCAGTAAAGCTGTTCCACAAAGGACATAATTCCACTACTAATCTCGGGATCAAGGTTCAAGTCCTCCCTGCACATGGACGAACAGTAACAAGCTCTACTTGTGGCTGCAGGAGGTCCATCTGTTACACGGATCTCCACAACCTTAGCTGGCATGTACTGATGGCAAGAAAACAGAGTCTGAAATGTGGCTCAAACGTTAGTTATGAGCACGCAAATGATTAAAAGGTAATAATACACACCTCATCCACAAGCACTGTGTCACCGATGAATAGGGCATAGGTTTTCTCTTCTGGTTTCTTCCCTTCCTTATTGGTCAAGTCTGAGAATCCCAAATTAATGCTGAAAACCATTCCTAAAACAGTAACACAGGGATCAGCTTGTGGCTGTGTAAACAAATAAACACACAAAAACTCCCAACTCACTGCCACTGAGTCTCTGCTGACTCATAGTAACTCTACAGGACGGGGCAGAACCACCCCTGTGCGTGTCTGAGACCATCACTCTCGACGGAAACAGAAAGCCTAGTCTTTCACCCACAGAGCGGCTAGTAGTTTCAAACTGCCAACGTTGCAGATCACAGCCCATCAGGGCTCCTCAAAGGATGGGTAAAATATAAGATTTTAACCAAAAAAGAGATGATTAGAAAGAAAAAAAAAATCCTATAATATGCCTGCACTCACCTTTTTTTAATTTATACTGATTTTTACTGTTGATTACTAGAGAGCCTTCACGGAATTCAATTCCCATTCCAAATCTGAAAAGGAATAAAGAATCACTTCAGCAGTAGGCTATAAGGTCTTGTAGATGGGTAAAGCATAATGTATTCTATAAAATTTTCCAGATGAGACAGGCAAAATACATTGTTGTGATCTATCTGACTAATTAGTCAGTTAAGAACTAGGCTCAAGGGCAACCTTTGGGCTCTAATGTGTTGTATAATCCTATTTTGAAAAACAACTTCCAAAGTATTATTGTTATATATCGTATTAGGCCCTCTTTATTTCAACTCACTTAAAATATTTACATCTTCATCTTCTCCCATGAAATCAAATGAGGAGTGCTCCTAGGAAGAGCTAGCAGGCGTTGTTAAAGGACACACAAGGTAGTCCTAATGGCTACAGAGAGGCAGTCTTCAGTGCCGGATGGCTAACTAGATGCATGTCAACTGGTCTAGGACTTGATACTGGAAAAGCAAAGCACCAAGCTTGTTGCGGTGAAGCCACTCTACCTTGGGGTGACCCAGTGTGCAGAGAAGAACTGCCCCATGGTGTCCAGGCTGTGCCCTCTGCCAGACCCTCTGAAGGCTTTCCGCCACCTACCTTTTGGGTTCAGAGTAGCACATTTTACCATTTAATCATTGTACCACCAGAAACTAGGTCAACATCACTTTCTCTTATTAATCAGAAAAGCCCGGAAACCATGGACTCATCCAAGGAGACTGTCCGAGTTTTCTCTCTTTAAAATGGCTTTATTTTGTTTTGTTTTTAAATCATTTTATTGGTGGCTCATACAACTCTTATCACAATCCATACATACATACATTGTGTCAAGCACATTTGCACATTCGTTGCCATCATTCTAAAAATATTTGCTCTCTACTTAAGCCCTTGGTGTCAGCTCATTTCCCCCACTCTCATCTAGTCTCTATTTCCCAAAATGTCCTTTGTTCTGTAAGCTGTCACATTAGGTATTTCTTAGTCAAATAGGTTTGAGAAGTCCTGGGTTAAACAAAAAGTTTATGTTTTCGGCTGAAATGTTTTGTTTGTTTTCAGCAGATATGTCCTAAGGGGGAAAATACTTCAAGAGTTTTCCTAATATTTAAAAAGTGATGCCAGGTCACTTCAGGACTCCCCACCCCAGCTCTTAGCGCATTTTCTGAAAACACCGTTTGGCACACAGGAAGCTTGATACAGTGCATCAACTGTTGGTTGAATTAATCAACTGATGTAAGACTGTGTCTCCTGAGCACTGCCAGGCCTGGAAACACACTCCAAGGGCCAACGTACGTCACCGTATCTTACCCCAGGTTTTTGGTAATTTTGTTCAGCAGTTCTGGCTTTTGTTTCTTAACCACATCCATGACAGCACTGTACACATCACATAGCTTCACACCTAAAAACAAGACACAAAGGTTTTTGTTTTTGGGGGGTGGGGTGGAGGTGGTGGTAGTGAAGGGGCACAGGGGAGCGGCAGAAATAGTTTTGAAATAAATGTTTCCCCCACCACTAAAGCAGTTTCTCAGTAGTCTGTGAATTATAGGACGTAGAGTCTTACGAGTGGTAGGGCGCAGAATATGTGTGTCTCTCAGTGTGTGTGTGTATACATATATATAAACCCCTCTACTTATTCCTAATTATACTACTTGAGACTCACCGAGCCAAGGGAATGGTGAATTACCTGGTCTCAATGAAATAATTTTTTTAAGAATTGGGCTAGATGGCATCAATTAAACTTCTATTAGGGCCACTGAATGTTAATTGTCAGATGCTGAGACTCTGTCTGGCTTTAGTTTTTCAAGATCTAGAAAATGAATGGATATTACAAGCCATATTTAGATATGGTGACCTCAGAGGAGGCCCTAAATGATCTACGATATGACTTCTAACTTCTCGAGGCTGACTTGGCAGTATTCTGCAGGACTGGTACCTGGGAGATCTGGGCATCAAGGCCTGAACAATGGTTTAAAGATGGCAAACTCACCATGTCGTAATTCCTTTAACAGCTCCTCTTGAAGCTGTAGCAAAAAGTTGTAATTCTCTTGAACTTCCGGAGAAGGATCAACCATCAAGGTACGAACGAGGTTGGAGCAGTAAGATTTAAAGCGAATACCCATGGCACAAGTGATGGCCCCAAAATGCATGTGATTCTTGTCACTGGGACGAAAACACAGCGTTACCACACAGTGGAGTCCTTACTATCACTGGCACATGAAAGCTGTAATTGCTACTCCCCCTGCAATACATCAGAGCTGCAGTGGAATAATGACCTGAAACTTTTGGAAAATAAATAAATGATGACTTATTTAGGTTCTGGAGTAAAAATTGAATTTCTACCCCAAACTTCGGGGTAGAAATCCAGTGAAAAGTTTGAATTACTATAGAATGAAGAGGCAAAGAATATAACGAGTTATACTCATTGTAGCTTAACAGTATGCCTTGAGAAGTCATGTACCCACCACTACACTATGAACTGCAAAATTAAATTTAAAATTAAAATTGATTCCATCAAAATGATAAGGAGAAACAGCATGCTTTAGAGAGTCTTTAAAAATTTGAAGTAGGTATTATGAGAAATCTAATTTCTGAACGGGTTTGGGATTTTCCCCCAGAATAGTAGTTTGCTTTTTACTAGCATTCACAATAACTTGGAAAAATACACTCAAATGCTAACAAAACTAAGAAATATGTGAAAAAGTGATGTGTGGGAAAAATAAAAATGCCAAACTCACTATTCTCTCAGTTTTCTACAAGGAGCATGTCTTACCATTTGTACTCTAAGAGGAGACTCAAAGAAAGATACACTCGAAAGGCAGAACTCTAGTTGCAGTTTAGAAATGCTCATATTTACCTCACCACACTGAACTTGAGGTTATAGTTGCCCCCGCTCTGGATGATCGGAGGATAACACATTTCCACAGTAGAAGGGTCTGCCCCGGCTAAGTATTTCTTCTCCTCAATGGCCTTTTCCACAGACTCGGCCAGTTTGCTGTGCCTAACTTTCTGAAAGACCAGAAACAAAGTATCACTTAGGGGAGGGTGGCTAAGAGAGGTGTCAGCTTTGGGACATCCTTCTCTATGGTAACACCCTTTCTGACCTCATTCTACATTAGAGTCTCACAGCATGGCTCATGGGCCAGATGACATTTTGGCACACATGCAAAGCAAGTCAGAGGATAGTAGTGTAACTTAATACTCATCGTGGGTATCTCTTTGAAGACTAAGTGTGCCTGAACCAAGTCATGTATTCATAATCGCCTACTATGCATGTGAAAGCTGGACAATGAACACGGAAAATCAGAGTAGAATTGATGTCTCCGAATTATAGTGTTGGCGAAGAATATTAAATATATTAAATATACCAACGACGGCCAGCTGAATAAACACATCTGTCTTGGAAGAAACACAGCCAGAATGCTGGTAAGAGGGGAGGATGGCGAGACTTTGTCGCCTATACACTGCACTGTTGTCAGAAGGGATCAGTCCCTGGAGAAGGACGTCGTGCTCGGTAAAGTAGGTCTTCAATGAGACAGACGGACGGACGGACGCAGGGGCTGCCACGCTGCGCTCAGCACCGCAACCCTTGCGGGGAGGGGGCAGGGCCAGGTGGTGTTTGGACCTGCTGTGCAGAGGTGGGTGACCGCCTGGATGGCACCCACAGCAACAGTGGGATTGATCAGGGTTCCCAAGAACTATTATAGGGAGAAAAAAAAGGGTTCCTCGGGGGCAGGGCGGGGCAGGGAGGGGACAAAGGGGAGCTGATATCAAGGAGTTCCAGAAAGAAAATGTTTCAAAACTGACTGTGGTAGCGATTGTACAGTACTGCTTGACGTGACTGAACTACGGAATGTTCTATCTGTGATTTCCCAATAAAACGATTCAAATACTGGGCAACCTCCAGAAATCACACTAGAGCTTTAGTCATTTTGAAAGAGATACAATAGTAACACACCACCAACTTAGGTTATCGACTTAATTTCAAAACAGCAAACAAATGAAAAAAGCACCCCCGAAAGTTTGCGGGAAGGGACTTCTCCCTCCCCATTTACCTCGTCTGCATCAACGATCTCCATGACTCGCTCCTTGAAGAACTTGCTGAACACCTCGGAGGTGATGCTGGCTGCCTTCTTCATGAGCAGGAGCTCCCCGTCCTCCTTCACCGCGATCGTGTACGCTACCACTGCACTGATGTCTATCTGCAACCAGAGCAGGACGAGTTTCCAACAGACACACCTCCACGGAATTACTAAAGAAACCTAGCTCTTCCCCTTTGAACATGGCAACATTTTTCGGTTGTTGTGGAACGAGTCATCACTAGTTAGTGGAGTATTTTGAAAAGAGTGGAAGCAGAAAGCATTGCTCCTAGGGGTCACACAGTCCATACACACGCTTGTTTACTCTAAACCAGATGTTTCCACAACCAGGCGATGGCTGCAGACAAGCTCTCTCAGTAATACGCGTGTCTTACTGCACTTAATTCGGGGTCTTCCATCAGTGGCTCCTGAGGGGTCCACTGGGTCAGTTAAATTCAAGGCAGAAAGAGGTCATTCAGGTTTCTTTTAGGTTCTGAAAGGGAGTAATCTGGAACCACTTTCTTGAAAGACAAAGGCTGATCACGGAGACGTACTGAGAAGTAGTTTCAAGAAAATGGGAAAACTGCACTGGGAAGTGAAAGGCTGGGAAAGCGGAGTAATTTTCCCATCGCAACAGTGCACCTGCTCATTTCTTCAAGGGCTGCCCTCAGGGCTTACCACCCACCGCACAACCCTAATCTGCCCCATCAGACCTCTTTCTGTCCCCGAAGTTCAAAGAACATGTCAAAGGAACATGGTGGATGCTCGAGTATGCCCAAATGGGTCTTTTGATGTGGTGTACACCAGGAGGGCAGATTCTCCACAGAAGGGCAAGCGATGAAACCATCAGCCTCCGAAGCGGCCACACAGGGAAAGCACTCCAAGGAGCACGGGCTCTGCACTTTGAGATTTTTGATTAATGTAAGTGCCCGTGGTTTTGCAGCAGCACTTTCTGACTTACCCTCACATTTTTTCTTGGATTCAGGAAGCATGAAACTAGTCTTCCTAGTTCTGTGGAGTAAGTTAGGTAAAGTCCCTTCTTAGAGGTTTTCTAAAGGCTGAAGGACGTAGACAGGCAGACAGGCAGGGTGGTGGTGTGTGTGTGAATGGCTGGGTTTCCCCCAGTGTCCCTGACCGAATCCCTGACTGGTCTATTCCTGACTGACGAGGATCAGTAGCTAACTGTCCAGCCAAGGGGGGTTAAAAAATGGAAAAGCAAAAAACATGGTTCTCTCAAGACAAACTCCCTTGGCTTCCTGCTCTGGAACCGCGCCGCCCGTGTGTGTGTGTGTGTGTGTGTGTGTGTGTGTGTGTGTGCTGAACTCCCGATGTGCGCCAGCTCTTACTTTCTCGAAGCCCTCCTTGTGGAGGCAGTCGTTCCAGCTCTTCATGAACTCTCCAGGGAATTTGTCTTTGCTGAACACCCCAATCTTCTTGCCGTTCTTGCTTTCTTTAATGGCGTCCACCATTTTGTCAAAGCTGCTCTTATTGCTCTCATTCTATCAGTGCCGAGAGAAAGAAAAGGGGTTTGTGAATTAGTTTTACACGAGACATCAAGATCAACTGCTAACAGAGAAGGGCACATTCTAAACTGTAAAAATAATACATCACCCACCTAGTTCTCTAGGGCTGACTGCAGAACACCAAAAGGTATGAACATTTATTTGGATAGTTTCATCTACTTCAGTGAAAATGTCATAAAAGGTAACAAAACTATTCATCTTTCTCCCCCACCTCCAACCCTCACCAGGTACAGCTAAGAAATTCAAGTCCTTGAAAAATATTCTGAGAAAATTTTCAAGTAGGCAATATGACCAAAAAAAGGGCGTAGTTAATAAAAACTGGAATCAGGAGTGAATGAAGACGTATTAACCGCCTGTAATACGGGGACAGAACAATTGTGCTTGCTAAAAGAAGAGAGCTTGAAGCACTTACTGATGAAGCTTAAAGTCTACCGCTTTCAGTACGGATGCTTAGAAAACAAAAACTCTCACAACTGAACAATAGACAACATCACGATTGATGACGGAAAAATGAAGTTTTGAATTGACTTCAATCCATACTCAACACCAATGGATGCAGCCGTTAGGAGATCAAATGACATTGCATTGGGCAAATTTGCCACAAAGATTTCTTTTAAGCACTAAAGAGTAAAGATGTCACTTTGAGGACTACTGTGCGCTTAACCCAAGCCATGTTCTTTTCAATCACCTCACAGGCATGAAGGTGAAAGGTGGATCATAAACGAGGCCGACTGGAGCAGAACTGACTCGAATAATGATGTGAATAATGGTGCTAACCAACGACACTAAAAAAGGACCATATACAACACACACACAAATCTGTCTTGGAGACAGTACAGCAAGAACGCTCCTGAGAAGAGAGGCAGGTGGGACGTGTGTCACGAATTTTAGACATGCTATTGGCAAGGGCTAGTCCTGGGAGTAAAGGGCCAGAGAAACAAAGGGAGCCCCTCAATGAGACAGACTGACACCGTGGCTGCAATACAGGGCTCACAGAGCGACAATTGCGGGGAGGTCCCAGCACTAGGCAGTGTCTCACTCTATTTCACAGACGGTTCTGTGAGTCAGAACAACAACATCAGAAATGAGATATGGCCAAGTTATTTTTAAGAATACCTAAGTTTATATGCTCTAATTAAGGCACTCTGATGAAAAAGAAACAAATTGCCAACGTTTCTGTGAGTGGACTGAAATTGCTACAGCATACCTCAGATACTGGGGGTTCAGCTCCAGACCACCACGATAAAGCAATGATGACAATGAAGCAAGTCATACAAATTTTTTGGTTCCCTCCTCAGAACACATAAAATCATGTTTACACTAGACCATAGCTTACTTAGTAAGCGTGCAATAGCACTATGAAAATGTCTGAAATGTCACGAGTCTCCCACGGTGACGAGACACACAAAACGAGCACGTTCTGTTGGAAAAAGTATGCCTACAGATTTGTTCAATGCAGGGCTGCCACAATCCTTCAAGCTGTTAAAAACAGTATCTACAAAGCAAAACTCAATATAACGAGGGGTGCAGGTAATGAACTCGTTTCTCACAGTGATGATATAGGGCACCTTGTGATCACAACCACCATAACTTGCTAAACGCTTTCCCTCGCACTCGCTGAAATTTCAAGAAGTCAGATGTTGATCACATTTAAACATTCTCTCCCACTTTAGATGTAGTCTTCCCTTAGTCCTGACCTTTTCTCGTACTAGCAGTGTGATGGCAGGCGCCCCGTTAGCATTCTCATTGCCCTTAGTGTTGGCAATCTGTTTCAGGAACTCCACCTTCTTCTTGCTAGCCATAAAGATGATTTTCTCATCACAGAAGACCATGATTGTATCAGTCAGTTCATAACCAAAGAGCCAGGTCTGTGGGAAAAGACAACAAGAACTACAGTATTTATAGGTAAAGAAAATTACGGACTCACTCTGAAATTTGTAGATAAATTATGGTATCCGGTGCTGGCTTCCAATATCTGGATGCCTACTTATTAAAATGAGATCGACCAGGAGTTGGTTTCTTATCAGAACTCAATGTTGGCACATAGGGTAGAATATGCTACTTGATCTAATTTTATAGGTATGAGATATTCTATAATAAAAAATAACACATCATTTGCATGGTTTCTATCGATCTGAATCATGTCAAAGATTAACAGAGTAGAAATACATAAAAGAAAGGCTAGAGTAACATTCTAAGAGAACTGTACATTCCACTTCACAAGAGATTACTCGTTGCCTACCAATTATTCTCTAAGAGACTTGCGATTTTTAGCTGGCATATTAGAGAGCAAAAAGACCATTTCCTATCTTTTCCTGAAGCAGTTATTTCTAAACTAAATTTTCACAATAAGATCCAAGTGGGAAATTTATGTGGAACCTCAGTCCCCTTAAAAGGAGGTCTTCCGTTTTCATCCCTTCTCTATCTTTGTCCTTGAAATGCAGACAGGAAAGCTAGAACTCTAGCAAATGTCTACTCTGTCAGGGCAGAGCAGACTTGAACAGGGCCTGGATCCCTGAATGCATGAAAGAAAAAGAAATAATTCTGTTTAAGCAACTGTTATGTAGGGCTTTCAGGCATATGCTGTTAAATATTTTCATCAATATGCTTTACTTCTTGTTTCCTTAGTTTCAAATCAGCCTGTCCATATGAAATTTATATGATGACGGTAATCTCCCATTAATACTCTTGAGCCGATATGGTATTGGGATGGCTACATTGAATCTTTTAGTGTGACTAGAGGCTACTCTACCAGCCAGTACAAAAGGTGCTTCAATGACTCCTAGAGTTAAAAACTGCTGAAATCTTACCTGTAAGGCCGTTGATTTGGCATAAACAATTTCTTCATCAACACCCACTGACACAACAATGGCATCAACATTGGCATACTCATCTTCTCCTTTCTGAAAAATAAAAAGTAAATTTGGTCACTTCCCTTTTCCGCTAGCAAAATAGAAACACTATATACTAATAAAAGTGCTAAATTTGAAGCTAAGATAGCTTGGCAACCTCGTAGCTACTTTTTTTTTTCCAGGCAGCATATCACTTTATTTAGCATAGTCAGTGGAGTGATCACTCATAATATTCATAGATTTCAGGGGTCTCTCGGGTGGCATAATGGTTGTGTATTAGGATGTTAACTGCAAACTCAGAAGTTCAAAACCACCAGTTACATCTCTTTTGATGGCTTCACCAAGCCTCATGTCCTTTTCCAGGGACTAGTCTCTTCTGATAACATGTCCACAGTTCTTGTGACAAAGTCTGGCTGTCCATCTTCCAAGACAGATTTATGTCTTGATGCCGACCACGATGATTACAATTATTCTTAAATAACTACACCAGTTAAGAAGTCTGAGCTCTGTGTTTTGCAAACAGCAAAATGTTATTCATTTGGATACATTAATTTGAATGTACTTTTTGCTTCCTGAGAAACAGCATCATTACTTCTACAGTCTTCCGTCGAAATCAATAACCAGCCTTGTAAAGCCAACTTGACAGACATAAAGGGTGCACTGTAAGGAAATGCCTGGGGGACGGAAGCACAATGAATGTTCCACATAAGGGAACTCTAGATTCTAGAATGCCTGAATGACTACAGGTCCAAAATTGGTGGCTTGGAATGTCAGCTATCCATCAGCATACGTGTTTTCAGTTATTTTTCACTTGGATTCTTTTTGAACTTGCAGAGTTTGTTCTGATGAACTGCAAGGTTCCACACATTCACCATCTTCAATGCCACATCCCTGTGGTTTTTCACATAAACGTAGCACTTTTACATTTACAAAGCGTATTTCCGGGCCTTACCTCTTTGCTCTCGCTCTCCATAGCTACTTTAAAAAACAGCTTTGAGACTTAGCTCACAAATTACACAAAGTGTATAATCCAATAGTTCTTAGCATATTCAGAATTGTTCATTATCACTCCATCAAGTTTCATAACATTTCCATCACCCCAAAGAGAAACCCTGTGGCCATTGCTATCATTTCTCATCTTTCTTTACTTTACTTGCTCGAGGCCCTAGAAACCAGATTCCTAAGAATTTGATAATCCTTGACATTTTATATAAATGCAGTCACATAACATGTGGCCTGCTGTGTTTGGCTTTTCAATAAGTTTTCAGGGTTAATCCACAGTATAGTATACACTAGTACTTCATTGCTGTTTACTGTTGAATAATATTTCATTGTATAACTATCACTATATTTATCTACTCAGCAATCAGCTGACAGTGGGGTGTCTCTTTTATATTTTGGTAGACTGCTACTATAGTATGCACAAGTACTTCATTGCTGTTTACTGTTGAATAATATTTCATTGCATAGCTATCATTATATTTATCTACTCAGCAAGCGGCTGACAGTGGGGTGTCTGTAGATTGCGAGGTCAGAGTGTACCCATGCTTCACCTTGAGGACCTGTCCGACGGTTTTCCAGAGTCTACTATGCTACATTCCCAACAGCAGTGAACGAGGAGCACATCTTTCCATCCCTTTGTCATGATCTATCTATTTGACTATGGACATTCTGGTGCAGTGGTAGAATTCTCATGGTTATCACGTGGGGAACACAAGTTTAATTCCACCACTACCAGTCATGAGTTGCGACCACCTTCAGGGGAAGTTTATGCGCTATGATGCTGAAGGCCACAATTACAGCTGTCTGATCTCTAACCAAACGTAGGTAGGACAGCACCAGGCAGCGCCTGCATGATTTCATTACAGTGTGCATGGGTCACTGTGCGATGGCAGCTAACAACAATGTTGGGTATCTTGGCTGTCTCAGTGTAGTCTTCATTTGTAATTTTTTGATCATTAACAATGTAGAGCATCTTTTAAAATGCTTGCTGAACATCTTCATACCTTTTTTTTGGAAGGACTGTATATTCATATCCATTGCCCCACTTTTAATGAGCAACTGTCTTACTAAGTTGTAAAATAACCTTTTATCTCCTAGATATACTTCAGATATAAGTCCCTTATCAGATACAATTTGCAAATAATTTCTCCCATTTAGTGAAGCCGTCTTTTCACTGTCTTGATGGTTGGTGTCCTGTGAACCAAGTGTTTTCAATCCTGACCATGCCCAAATGACCTATTATGTTGCGCCTTTAGGGGCATGTCTGAGGAGGCTTTCCCAACCCAAGGTCACAAAGATTTACAAGTTTTATGCTTTTAGCTATTACATTTAGACCTATAATTCATCATGAGTATATTTTTTGTATGGTGCCAGGGAGGGATTCAACTTCATTCTTTTGCATGTGAATATACAGCTGTTCCAGCACTATTTGTGGAAAGGACTCCCCCCTCCCCTCACTGAAATGCCTTTGCATCCTTGTTGAATATAAGTGCTCATAAACTTGAGGGTTGACTATTGGACTCCAATTGCACGGATCTACAAGCCTATCCTTATGCTACAGTTTTGGTTACTCTGCTTAAAAAAATGTTGAAAATAGAGAACACACACCAATCCAACAATTTCTACATGCAAATTCAGTGACATTAATTGCATTTTCTAGGCTATGCAAACACCCTCCCTCCTCCCCCCATTGTCCTTTCCTGATTAACAGGAAAGCACTATCCCCTTCCTTTCTAATCTTCCAGTTGCAGTTAGTCCCTGTGCAGCTCTTTCTACAAGAGCACAATGGTCAGAGCAGACACCCCTAACCAGTTAAGCGAACCCACTGTTGGTTTTCAAGAACACTTCAGGGGGTATTTTTGGTTTAAGGTTTAAAGATGATCTCAGAGCAATAATTTCAGGGGTCCATCTAGCTCCCACGGGGCCAGAAATTCTGAATCCCATGAGGATTTGAAACTTTATTCTCGATCCCATCCACTTTGATCCAGAACCTTTTAAAAATTCTTTGACCAAAATTTTCAGTCATGGTAGCCTGGCACCAACCAGTTCTGGTCTCCTGGCAAAGGAGTCCCATCAGCTACTCATTAAGACCCAAACACTGGTAATTCTACATATAAAGTCAAATTTCTGGCTTCTTCTATTTAGTCAAGAAACACACAAAATATTCTCCCACATTAAAAATTCTGGTTGGTAATAAGAATATAACTACTGTTACGCTGCGGTGAGCGTGGCTACCGAAGGCTCCATTTCTTTACTACAACCAAGTCTGTACCACAGGAAGGGTTGTATGCAGAAATTGTATGTATTACCCATCAATCTGCAGGGAGAAAAATGAATTCCTTTAGGTTGGTAAAAATACATAGTGTCAGTCCTCGGTGTTGACGCAAAGGCAGTAATAGTTAAAAATGCTAGGGCCTGCCTTAGCACAGATCAAGGCTGGGATACCCAGTGTACTTCACGATCACATACTGACATAAAGAAAACAAGCTTCACTTAAGAATATTGTCAACACTGCTAAAATGATTTAATATTGTGAAATCTTAGCTCCCTAATACAGAATTTTAAAATACTGTGGGGAAAGCAATGGGATGTCCACAAAGCACTTCCGTTACATCCAGAAGTGTGATGATCATCAATGAGAAACACTAGTCTCACTGAGTAGAAGCTGAACTAAGCACACTAAGACTTTGGTATCTGGAAGAATTTCCTGAAAATGGAGTGAGCCTGCCTCTCACGCTGAGGAAAACTCATGTTTGTTGTCAATGATAAAATTTTGTGGAAAAAAAAAAAAAAATTTTGTGGTTCAGAGTGTCGACAGTTCAAAATCACAAGCAACTCCACAGGATAAAGACAGGGCCTTTTACTCCTGTAGGCAGTCTTGGTAACTGGGAAGGGCGCTTCTACCTTGTCCTGCAGGTCTCTCTGAGTCGGTCAGTAATACCTCGACAGCAGTGAGGTCATTGTGAATCTGACACAGTGGTGACATTAATGTCTATGGTTCTTTGATGGTGGAAAATGTATAACTAGAATGAACTGTGAGACTATATAGAAGATATGAAACACTCGGGGAAGACTGGGGAAACTCAGTATTTTTCAAATATGTAATTCATGAAGCTACAAAGTGGTAAAAGACCCCAAGTGTATGAGACCAGTAAACAGACTTCAATATAACTAAATTGTAAAAAGCTCACTACTGTGGTTACCTAGTGTACATCTCAAGCACTACTTTTCAGTGTGGTTAAAAAATATCCACAATTATCTGGAAAAGTTATTAAAATATTCCCCACCTTCCTCAGCTTAATATACGTAAACTTTCGCAGTCATTGAGTTAATGCTGATTCATAGCAACCTCCTGCGAGTTTCCGAGATGGTAATTGCTTATGGGAGTGGAAACTAGCCTTTATCCTGGTGGTTTCAATCTGCCCAACATCTGGATCACAGCCCAACGCATAACCACTACACCATCAGGACTCCTGTAGAGACCATAATTGCTATGTATGTCTGATATAAACCACATCAACGAATATGCTTTTATGTCCTGAGTCACTGAAGAATGTACAAGAACCCTGATCCAAAGTTCGAGGACCACTGTGCTGCGATTCCCAAGAAACATATTAACTTTAGCATCATTCTCCTCCATCCAATTGTTTTGCTAAATATTATATTCCAGTTTTTCAGAAAGCACGGGATTTTGTGGCAGTTATACAGCTACAACCACAATAACCGCCCCAAATTACCAACAAGCACTTCCCTATATATTTAATGCCATTCTGTGTTCTGGATGCAAATATAGGAAGGGGCTTCAGAAGTTCCTGAAAAACTCCAATATCGCATAATTCCATGTTTTCACAAAAATTTAAAACCCTTTTTATAATTTTATTCTTAAACACGTGTCTGTAAAAAAAACCCCACCAAATTAATAAAATCCCATTTAGTGTTTTTTGGTACTTGAAATTTGGTCCAGGTAAAAAAATAACAATGTATAAAGGATCAACTTGTATAAAATTCAAAATAGACACAAACCCAAACCTACTGTCATTGAATGAATT